TAAAGAAAACCTTGTGTGTAAGTTGAAGAAGAGTTTGTATGGTTTGAAACAAGCTCCCCGATAATGGTACAAGAAATTTGATGGATTCATGCATAACAATGGTTTCACGCGATGTGAGATGGACCATTGTTGTTATATCAAAAAAAATTTATAAATCCTATACCATTTTACTGTTGTGCGTTGATGATATGTTAATTGCAGGATCTAGCATAAAAGAGATCAATAGGGTTAAGCAACAACTGGCAGAGGAGTTTGAAATGAAAGACTCAGGACCAGGTAAGCAAATACTTGGAATGAGGATTAGCAGAAATAGGTCTGAAGGAACCTTACAGTTGTCTCAAGAAAAGTACATACAAAAGGTACTAAGCAGGTTCAATCTTCATGATACAAAGACCAGAAGTACTCCACTCAGAAGCCATCTTAATCTGTCAAAGGACCAATCACCAAAGACATATGAAGAAAGGAAGTACATGTCCAAAGTTCCATATGCCTCAGCAGTAGAAAGTTTGATATGTGCTATGATTTGTACTAGTCCTGACATAGCCCATGCAGTTGGAGTTATCAGTAGATACATGTCAGATCCAGGAAAGGAGCATTGGGAAGGTGTAAAATGGATATTATGATATCTCAAAGGCACCTCAGATATGGCATCTTGTTTTAAAAAAGAGCAATATTATCTTACAAGGTTTTGCTGATGCTAATTTAGTCGGCGATCTGGATAGTCGAAAAAGTACCACAGGCTACATGTTCACCTTGGGCGGTAGTGTTGTTAGCTAGATGTCCAGACTTAGAAAAGTGTTGTTCTATCTACCACTAAAGCAGAGTACATGGCAACTCAAAAGCTGGAAAAGAGATGATTTAGCTCAAGAATTTTCTTAAAGACCTAGGTAAAGAGCATGACAATTGTGAGCTTTTCAACGGTAGCCAGAGTGCAATTCATCTTGCCAAGAATCCAGTATTTCATGCTAGATCGAAGCATATCCAGTTGAGGTATCATTATATCTGAGAGTTGATAAGTGTAGGAACTCTTTCCCTGTAGAAGATACCAGGATCGAAGAACTCGTCAGACATGTTGACCAAAGTTGTCGGTTTTGACAAACTGAGGTTGTGCACTGCCTCAGTTAGCCTTCAAGATAGATAATGTGAAGACGCCACCAGAGAATAGCAAATCTTTTTTTAATTTTCTTTCTTGATGTATATGGGTTTGAGGGAAAAATTGATGGGACAAACCCATGTGGGTAAATAAAAAGTCAAACAAAAAGAAGGAGAAAAAGACAAAGAGAACTGCAAGAATGAAAAGAAAGAAAACGAGAGAAGAAATGAAAAGTCAAAGTTGGTGAGCTGAAAATGTGAAGGAAAGAATTCGGCGCGTAATTTGCGGTGTCGTCCTGCCACATATTCACATTCATTGAAATCTTTTTTCAGCATATGCTCTGCCTATAAATAGGCATTCTTTTTTCAATTGTAAATCATCCTTCAACTTCTTCTTTCTCTTCAATTAATAAAGAGTTATTCTTTGTGTGGACGTGGAGTAGATAAAAATTGCCGAACCACGTTAATCTTGTCTTGTCTTGTACAATTTATTGCTTTTCTCTTTAAATATATTTTTCTCTTTCTATTAGCTTGACATGTTTCCCAACATGTATACGTGTGAAAGCATATAGAGTAATGATTAATGTTGGTAATCACGAGAAAAAGTATAAATCTTTATCCAATCATATTTGTTAAATTTTCACATTCGCATAGGAGAATTTGGCCGTTGAAAAGTATTGTTATTGAAGCAAAATACAATTAGCGAAATGAATATTGGTCCTAAAAGCACTTACAATATCTAATTTGTTGTCATTATTGAAGTTTTCGGAAAATTTGGTTGCTACAAGGAGGTACAAAGACCGGATTGTCGTTATTAAATTTTTCAACAGCATAAAAGACAATTAGGAAAATTTTGGTCGCTAAAAGGAGGTATAACTATTTGATTTCTTGCCGTTGCTAAAGTTTTTTCAATTACCTGATTGAAATCCAATCATGTACTTTTAATGACGGGGCTTTTAGCGAGCGCGGAAGGATCAAATTGTTTTGGGTCATAAATGACTAGTAATGTTAATAGGACTTTTAGCGATTGATTTTTTCCTCGTTGAAGGCTTTTTTCTTATGGTGATGTTTAAAATTTCTCGCTTGTATGAAAGTGATATGAGTATGTTTTTACAGCTCGTCCAACTATTATAATATTCATTCATCCATCCAAAAGAAACATCATAAGGAATATGATTCTGCTTATTTCTTTTTTCTGCATTTCTTCATTATCTTTTCATCTTTGTGCTAATTGCATTTCTTCAATTAGCACTGCGATATGGCTCGACTGCATTACAATGTAACACCTTTGTTTTTTAAACCAATTCTTCTTATCAAGCAAAATTGTAGCAAGAAGTGTATCTCAAAGAAAATGATTGTTGCAACCTTAACAAATAGTATAAGAAATCACATTACAAGGAAAAGTCGACAACACCACCATTGATGTTGAACTCAACAACGCCATTGAGAAAACACGTTAAAACAATGAGAATAAAAGAAGATGAAACGAAAGGGAGAGAAAGACAACACCAAAGATCAACGATAAATTTCCTTGCCACACCCCTTGTAGGCAGAGGCTGTTGTAGTGTAGTGACTACGGGTTCAATTGAACCCATAACTTTCGACGCGGAGTAAAAACTTGTATCTAAAAATTCATTAAAACTGTAAAAAAAAAATAGTAGATATGAATCCATAACTTTAAAAATATAATGGATTTAATGTTAAAAACTTTAAAATTGAACCCATAGGATTTAAATCCTGGATCCGCCTCTGCTTGTAGGAAGATGTAAACATGGTAGAACACGAGCTAGCAAATAAAACCTCGTAGATTATTTGCTGAATGAGTATTGTTCATACCTCATTGAGCAATCAACAAATTTGACTTGACCTCCAATACGACCATCACAAGTACTCAACAAGAAAGATTTTGCACTACTTAAACAAAGGGCACAGTCTGAAAATTCTAAAATTGAGTTGCAAGTAGCATGACCATAAGCTAAGGCATCGCGCGTTAGGATAATTAGGAGAAGTTGAATAGTAAGTATAACCTTGATTGGGAGTCACATTCTGTAAAACTTCAAGAACATAAGCCAAGCTTAGCGCAAAAGGACCATTCTTATCATACACATTACCATTGTCCACTACATTGGTATTTGGTTCACTTCTCACAAAGCAACTAAACCCACTCATTCTCAAGATAGAATCCATAGATATATACCCTCTCTATTTTTGTATCCTCGTATCTATTGGGATATACTATTAACCATGCGATTTAGATATAGTATTGTGTTTTATTATTTATGAAATAATTATTTATTTAATTTATTCAATTCAATAAATTACTATTTTAAATAGATCATTTGTTATATGTGTGTCCTTTAGTTATGTAGTAGACAATTTAGTGTATGGAATCTTAGCTCATGCACAGAAGATTAAATTGTCGGTTCTCATAATTAATAAACTATGTTCATAATCAAAGATATTATTGGGCAAAATATCTTGATGATTGTAGCATAAGATTATAGTATAATTTGTCTTGATTATGGGAGTGGTTTTACTCCGACTTCTTGTGCTAGTATACTTAGTGTATATTGAACGGACCAAGTAGAGAAAAGATGTTTTTGTACTGAATATATATAAAATATTTTCTCTAATTCATTGAATGAGCTTATACTCCTAATCTTAATATAATTATTATGATCAATGTGATTTGTTTATTGTTTTGATTTATCAAAATGTACAATTCTATTCAGAGTTAGTGTATGCATGATAGATTGGACAATAACAAATAACATTTGTGAAATAATAATTAGTTGATAGAATCCATGATTCGTTTTTGAGTATGATGATACCCCTTTATGTAAGCTTATAAGTTTTTATGTGAATCCGGCCGGAGAATTTTCTATCCGTCACATGAAATAGTTTGAGCGGAATTATAAAGGATTTAATTAGTTGATTAAATTAAATTGTCAGTGATTTAATTTAATTAACTGGTATTTGGGATCTTAATATGGGGAGTTAAAATAAGTGTTAATGAATTTTCAAAATTCATATTGAGGAGTTCAATTGCAGTTTTTTAGTGGAATAAACTGCAATTAATTATAGTAGGAATTAATTCATGTGAAATTTCGAATTAATACTATAATTAGTAGCCTCTTATTATTTCTGTGGTCCCTGCTATACCTAGTAAAAATCTGGACTGACTTGGGTAAAAAGTGACTTGGGAGAAAAGTCATCCGGTAGAGTTAGAGTAGGATCCTACTTGCACAAGCAGAATCCTACACGTTTTTGGAGCCCTTTTTGGCTGAAAAACGAGTCTACATAAGGAAGACATTTTTCACCCAATAACTCATACTTTTAGAGTTGTATTGTTCTTGCCCACTCAAAGCAATTTCATCCAAGGTCTTACTAGGACCATAGCGGAAGACTGCAGCCCTGGATTCTTGCTCTGTGGAGGACCTGTGCAACGATTTTAAGAGGTTAGTGGTTTCTAATCTCGTAATTGTATCATTATCTAGTTTACATGTATTTGATGTCTGAATTGTATGCTTGCTTCCGCTGCGCATGTTCTAACACTCTCTTCTACTATTTCTTTTGTGTTACAAATTTGAGTTACGTTTCACATGTTCTTGTTTGTTTAAATAGATTTAGCCATCCATTGATCTCTCCATCAATGAAATTAAATATTCCATGATTTTGGTCTAACCGGCTTGTCTTAGTACCAGATAACATACAGTGTATGTTTTTTTTTATTTTATACGTTGCCGGCAAAGAAGTACGCCGTACATCTCCATTTCGTACTGATCGTCCATTTTGGCACGGTCTTGCTTATATCTTAGTGAATGTTGGTTCAGTTTTGGGCTTTTAATTTGGCGTCCCTTGCATAGACACAATATACATGCTTCTACAGACATCATGGTTGGCTACCGTACAAAAACCAATCTCAACACTCTATTCTAGCACATTTGTAAAATCCTAAAAGATAATTTAACACAACTGAATGAAACTAAACATGCATACATTCAAAACTATCCATATGTTAGCTAGATTCTGGCTATATACATTTCATCTTCTTGGTTCTCATCAATGACTAAATGAGAGCTAACTTCAAATGTGAGAGAAAACTTTCAACCATTCTCCTGCATTTGAAACGAGAAAATGAAAGAAGTCACTCTTTTAAGCTAAGTCGTGCATTCTGCACTTTCACAGATAGCTTTAATTTCTGCTCCTCCATGTCTTTCAAAACTGCTAATAGATTGGCACGATAAACTTCAGATCGTTGATTTATGCAATCTAACTTGGCTGTCAATTCACGAATCTTTTGTTCCTTCTCTTCCTGCCAAAAGAAAGAATATAGGAGTAAATCCACTACAGTAGCAGGCTAAAACTACCATCATTAATTGGGATAAATATCTCTTTGCAGTAAGGTTTCATTAAATAATTGACATATGTCCGAGTACTTTGTTACTATCAGACTCACTAACTCTTTTCTAGGTTACAAGGAACTGTGATGTGTTTTAATCAATGTGACTACGAAATAATAAATTACTATAATAATAGTAAATTGAATTTAACCAGTTTTTTCAACTGAAAACTCCAAGTCANAGGTTTCATTAAATAATTGACATATGTCCGAGTACTTTGTTACTATCAGACTCACTAACTCTTTTCTAGGTTACAAGGAACTGTGATGTGTTTTAATCAATGTGACTACGAAATAATAAATTACTATAATAATAGTAAATTGAATTTAACCAGTTTTTTCAACTGAAAACTCAAAGTCATAAGGACAAAGATGAACTCAAAGAAAGCGATACTCGAGAAGTACTTGCAACTTTTATGCATAGCATGATGCTTGAATTTCTAATGACTATCATCTTTAATGTTTTGCTTTCTAGATCCTATATTTAGGGGGGTTTCAGGAATATTTAGATTTGAGTATATCTTGTGCTATTATCCGGAATTTCCATTACCACAAAGTTTTGGAGAAGGCACTTTCAGTTCCTTGTTTCTTCGAGATGCATCCCGAATTGAGAGGATTATGCTGAAGGCACTTTCAGTTCCTCATTTATTCTGTATTGCTTAGAGATGCATCCCGGATTGAGAGGATTGCGTTGCATTTCCTCAGTGATCCAGACTAAGAAAATGGTTTCTCCCACAGTTCTACACTCATCTTGGAGGAAATTCAGCATAATCCTCTCAATCCTGGATGCAACTATCAAATACGGAAGAAATACATAATAGAGGTGTTGACTAAAAAAAAAACAGTGTTTCTGTGCTGACAAGTGACCCTTCCCAGTTGTTCAATTTAGCTTTTCGCTCAACAATAGATTCAAACAGAAAAGAAGATCAAGGGACGTTTATTGACGGCAGCACATAGTATGTATCAATATCAATCTCGCCATCATTGGACTATCGTAATGACCAGAGCTATCATTAAATTCAAAGGAATGATATATGGTTAAAAGATAAAATGTATAGATTGGTTAGCAAAAAGAACTTGACCTCATGACCCCTGCAATATATAAAACACTACTTCCTTTTCCCCAGTTTAACTCTCACACACTACTTTTTGAGAGATGGAAGTGCAAACAAATGTATTTATAGGATACCAAAAGAATTCCCTTCCCATCTATGGGATCTATCACTGTTTCAGCATCAATTACAAAGCCCCGTTAACACCAAAAATGAAACAAAAGTAAAGACTGCACCTTTGCATCCACTAATATTGGTTGTCTTATAATGATATGCACTTTCCTTAAAGAGAATAAAAGTTCCTCAAAAAGGTACCATTACATCCACTTTTGCATTAAAGAAGGTGTAAACTACTCAGAAGGTATTCTCTCGCTTTAAGATCCACTCCTATTTAAGCATGATGAAACTTGAACTCTCACCTTTTTGATACCTGTGCCCGTCAACAATGATAATTAAACTGTGACCGTAAAAGTGCCAATTCTATTCATTTAATCTAACGATCAATCAACTATACCTCAATCCCAAATTGGGGAAGGAGAATAGGAGATATGAATCCGCTCAGTTCTGCTCCATTAGGCCCACTTCATTCATTTAATTGATACGTAATTCACCGTAAACTATGGACTCCATAAAACGAGATATATCCTAAGCTCACACTAACAATTAACACTTAATCACAACCAGTTGGTATCACCAATATTGATCTTATACTCTCATCGTGTTCTATTCTTAGCTATGTCTGCATTGCTTCGCGTGATTATAGGTCTTTGAGAAAACTTATCCTTGTGATTTTAAGTCTACCTTGTTCCTTTTTAGCACCTTCAATCACCGTATTGTACTATGATATCTACTGATTGGTTCATTTGGAGGTCTACGTTGGAGTTTGGACATGTCCAACCCATCTCTGCTGACCTTCTCTCGTCTTATCCTCTATGTAATACTTGCTATCCTTATCCGACTTGATCATTCTAATTTGTCCAGTCTCATATGACCTCACATCTTTCATAGAATTAACATTTAGGATTTCTCCCTTAAATCACTCCAATATACAGTCTCTCCTGCCCTGCTCTCATCTTTGAATATCTATTTTCATCTCTCTCACTCTATTTTTTTCTCTGCCGGCTTGTTATTCTAAATGTTTGATTAACTTTGGAGCAGCTCTAACTTGGGAATAGGATAAAATTTACTTAACAGTGGATACACACTGGAATGGAGCAAATGGCTACATGTAGGTGAGGGGGTTAAAATCCACTACCTGCAGGGATGATGTAGATGAGTACGGAAAATTTCAAGAGAAAGAGTTAATTACAGTACTAATGATGCCACTAAACCCTATTCATAAGTATACTACCTACAATCGAGTTTTTCAATGTACGCAATGGATGTCATTCTGAAACCATATATCAGCAGCTTACATTACTGGAAGTTTATACTGATAGTTTTGTGTTAGTCTTCTTTGAATAAAAAAAGGTCCTATCATATTTTGTACAGAATGAAATTCCAACACACCCTTCAAGGTTATTGCCTAAATGTGAATCATAGTTGAACCGCGATGCACTCCCTCAGTGATAAAATTGTGTTCCCTACAAACATTTGAGGTAACGTTTGTTGTAAATATATTAACTGCATCAAAACAGATACAGCCATCCATAATTACAGGGGGTGGTTGGTACAGGAAGATTTCCAAGTCCTTAATCTACTTACAAGGATCCTAAGATATCAACAAAATATTCTGGATCTTCCATGTACTCTTGCTTATACCAAAAATAAAAAAGAGCTAAACAATGAATTTTCAGTTTCTGGATAGTACTATGTCTATCTTCAAAACATCTGTGGTTTCTCTCTTTCCAACCAATCCACCAAATGCAAGCTGGAACAATTTTCCATCTCTTTCTGATTGGGGGAGCTACTGAATCTGTTCCAGCATTCTAGAACTTCAATAATACTCATTGGCATTACCCACATGATTCCTTTCAAATTAAAGAAAATCCTCCAAATTTGTTCTGTTATCCTGCAGTGCAAAAAAGAGATTGATTGTCTCTGCCTCTTCTCCACATAAGTAGCATCTGGAGCATAGGTGAAGCCCCTCTTGATAAGATTGTCCTGAGTTAAGAATGCTTTTCTGGCTAGCAGCCACGTGAAACAAGCAACTTTGTATGGAATATTGACTTTGTAAATTAGTTTCCAAGGCCAACTTCCAATCTGATTATTAGAGGTGTTATATTCCTTGTAGGCAGACTTAACTCAGAATTTACCTTGCCTATCCCTTTACCAAAACATATGATCTTCAAAAGTGTCCCTTGAATTGATCCAAGGTGTTGTAGAATTCTCTTCGCTGGACAATCTCCCAATCATTGAATAATCTTCCATAGCTAAGGTTCCATCCTTGGTTTGATCATACCTCTCCCACAGCTGCTCCTTGTTGCTGGTTCAGGTTGTAAATGTCTGGGAAAATCTCTCCCACAGTTGCTCCATGCTGTTGGTTCAGGTTGTAAATGTCTGGGAAAATCTGTTTCATAGGACGTTGGCCTAGCCACATGTCATCCTAGAAAGAAGTTTTCATTCCATTGCTCACCTTGAATCTGGATTTGTTTATTAACTTTGGCCACAAGTTTCTGATTGATCTCCATAGACTGACCCCATAAGGACGGGTTGTAGAGTTGGTTGTCCAATTACCTTCCATTCCATACTTCACCCTAATGACCTTTTTCCATAGTGAGTGTTCAGTTGAAGCAAATCTCCAGAGCCAGTTTGTCATTAGACTGTGATTCTAAATTCTTAAGTTCCTAAACCAGCCCCCCTTCGTTCTTGTTGGTAAAAAGGGAGTCCCATTTGACCAGGTGAAATTTGTCTCTGTCACGGTTGCCTTGCCAAATAAAGTTCCTCCTCAATGCATCTATTCTTTTGACCACATTTGCAGGGATAGGAAATAGAGACATCATGGAATTGGGGAAGGCATCCAGTATACTATTGATTAGAACTAGTCTGCTACCCAGGGAAAGAAATTAGCTTTTTCAGTTGACTAGTTTCTTTTCACACTTTTCCAGTACACAATTCCAAATTTCTTTTGACTTGCTCTTTGCCCCAAAGGCATTCCAAGATACATGGCAGGTAGTTCTCCAATTCTTACTCCAAGAATGTCAACTAGGTTTTGGATATCAGGAACCTTGATATAGATAACTCTTGCTGCAGTTAATATGCTACCGAGATATAGATTCAAATAGGATAAATATCACCCTCAGAATTTTCAGTTGTTCTCAATCAGCTTCACAGAACACTAGCGTGTCATTAACATATTGAAGGTGTGTGATTTCTAGATTGTTCGCATCCCATGTAGAATTGAATCCCTTGATCCAGGTGTTACCCTGAGCAGTTTTCGACATGTTATTTAGACCTTCTATGGCAATGATAAACAGGAAGGGGGAATAGGGGATCACCCTATCTCAGTCCTCTCTGAGATGAGAAGAAGCCAGTTGGGGAACCATTGATAAGGACGGAAAATTTGACAGTGCTTATGCAAAACTTGATCCGGGTAATCCATCTACCTCGAAAACCCATTTTCTCCATAATTCCAAGCAAATAAGTCTAGTTCAGATGATTAAAAGCCTTCCGGATGTCCAACTTACATAGAATTCCTAGAATTTGCTTTTGATCCTTGTGTCTACACACTCATTTGCTATAAATATGTCAGCTATTATCTGCCTCCCTTTGATAAAGGCCATCTGTTGAGCATCCACCAATTTATGTACCACTTTCTTGAGTCTCTCGCTTAGCAATTTTGAGATGATTTTGTAGATGCTACATATTAGGCTGATAGGTCTGAAGTCTTTCAATTCCTTGGCATTCACCTTCTAGGAATCAAAGCCACATAGGTGGCATGAAACTTTTTTTCAAAAACACATGTCATACAGTCATAGAAATTTTGAAAAGCAGTAGTGACATCAACATTGACTACCTCCCAACAATCAGCGAAGAAAGCCATGGTATAGCCATCAGGACCAGAAGCTTTATCCCCAGCACATTCTTGAACATTGCTTCATATCTCTTGGGCTTCAAAGGGATTCTGCAGTATCTGGTTTTCTTCTGGAGTGATTATAGGACAAACTCTGAGGTTTCCATGGGGCCTCCATTCTTCTGACTCAAATTTCTGTCTTGATGTCGGCATGATTTCTAATAGATTCACCTTCAACTTCTAACATGTCAATATTGTTGTACCCCTTATGAGCATTGTCAGTTCTATGGAAGAAATTGGTATTGTTATCTCCTTGTTTCAACCAAAGAGTTCTTGATCTCTGTCTCCATCCAAACTACTCTTTTCTTGCGATCTTCTCAAATTCCACTTCTAATGTTGCTTTTTTGAGTATTTCATCTTCATTAAGATTCATGAGGTCCCGAACCTCATCTAGTTCAATTAATTGAGTGAGGATGTTATGTTTCTGCATTTCTAGATTTCCCTGGATAGTTTTGCTCCACTCTCTGAGCTTTCCTTTCAGAGCCTTCAGCTTGAAAGCCAGAGTATAGTCAGTTTTTCCTTCACAGTTGAAAGAGTCCCACCATTCTTTAACTCTCTCTTTGAAACCCTATGTCTGCCGCCACCAATTTTCAAATTTGAAATAGGACTTGATAGGCTCCCAATTGCCACACTGAAGTAACACGGGTGTGTGATTATAAGTCACTCTATGCAAGGTTGATTGTTTGATACTCCTAAAGCCCTCATCCTGATCGTCAAAAATAAGAAATCTGTCTAGTCTCGCTGCAACATCATATCCTAAGTTGCTCGGACTCTTCACTTTTGGTATCGCACCCATGTCGTCACGACGTCGGTGTGAGTGTGAGTGTGGGTGTGGATCCGTACCAGATTTGGTCAACCGATTTTGGGCACTTTGACCAAAATCGGTGGAGGAATTCAGGACAAATACAATAATTTCTGAAATCAAAACAAGCTAGGTTGAAATTGAAGAAAATGAAATATCTTATATATAGAAACTTCTACGTTAGTCATTTTTCTTTTATCTCCTTCTCGGATTCTCCTCTTGATCATTATTTTCTCTTTCTTGGAATACCTTGTAAGTTTTTCATATAATGTCTCATAATGTAGACATATTTTTATAACTCTATTTTTAGATATTTGAATTATTTTTAGCCGAATCCCTACACCCGTATCCGTACCCGGATCCGTATCCTCGAATATTAAGATTTAGATTATGAAAGATCCAACCTCTAGATCCGCACTCGTATCGGATACCCGCACCGGAGTCTAAGCAACTTAGATCATATATGTCTCCTTTCTTCCAAGTGAACTTACTTCCTAGCAGTTATAGATCTACCAACTCCATATCCTCAATGAATTTAGTGAAATCAGTCATTCTGGAGATTCTGATATAGTTTTTCTTCTCTAAAGGGAATCTGACTGTGTTAAAGTTCTCACATACCACCCAAGGACCCGAAAACAAGCCCCTGGATGCACCAACTTCCCACCAAACTTCTTCTCTCTCTGCCATGTCATTAGGAGCATAAAGGCTGGATAAGTGCCAGGAGAAGTCCTATGTTTTTCCAGTGAACTTACATGTGATAGAGTAAGAACCCAAGCTGGTGGTTTCACCTTCCCATACCCTGTTATCCCACATCAGTAAAATGCCTCCTCTCGTACCACTAGCCTCCGGTTGTGCAAATTTGCACCATCTGTTGGCCCATAAATCTTTCATAATCTTGTGATATCTCCTTCAATTTCGATCTCCCGAAAGCAATAGACATCTGCTTTCCAAGTATTAATGCAGTTGTTGATAGTCTCCTCTTCCTCGCCTTGTTCAAGCCCCTCACATTCCATGAGAGAATGTTCATTGATCTTGATTGATGTGGTAGCCCCCTCTGCTTCTAGCACCATTACTTTTGAAACTGCTCCAATGTCCAGGTTCTTCAATTCTTTTGACCCCTTAATCTTAGGAGTTGCTGTCACCATTGTTCCTGCAGGACCCATGTGTTTGTCTTTTTTGATCAATTTTCATGAAAATCTGTAAAGCCTCCTTTTTGTAACCTTGGAAATCAACCCCAAATTCTTTGCTAAGTTTGATGATGTTTTGGTGTACCAAAGTCAGGGTCCTTCTCAGACTCTTGGGTGTGTGAATTCAAGGGCTCAACCTCTTCAATTGTCCATCGAGTAGTTTCCTCCCCTTCCTATTTTGCATATTATCCAAGGTTGAACTCCTAGTGGATAGCAATCTGGTTCTTCAGTAATGATCATGGCACTTTTCTTGTCAACTGGGTCTTGTTGGGCTTCTTCGTTTCCTTCTTCTTCCCTGATGTGCCCTTTTCAACTAATAATTGCCATTCTAAAATTAAAATGGCGGCTTTACTTATTGGAAATTTTATCCTGTTAATAATGCAATCTAGTTACAATAGAAGCTCCTAATTTATTTATTTATTTATGAAGAGTTACAATAGAAAAGGCCTTTTTTTAATAAGGGTGGTGTTTGGGCCAAAACAATGTACGCTTTTGGCACATACAAATAGGGTGACAACAAATTAGTAGAACTTACAAAAGCACTATGGAGTAAGAGAAGTGGACTAGATATGCTTATGCTTTAAGAAAACTATTAATCATGCCAAAACGTATTTCCATATTTAGCGTTCACTCCAAAGGATTGGAAGTTGTATGTACCCAGTAGTAGATCACAACAAAAACATGTGTCCGCTCAATAACATGGTGTCAGGACCAGCTTGTGCGGACCTTGATTATTCCACAGGGCACCAGCTAACTCCAACCAGTATAAGTACCGGGTAACTCTACCCACCAAGACTTCGGCAAATAGGAAGAAATCACCTAGTGTTTTTTAATCTACGACATCATTTGAACCGTAGTAACTAAGGTTTACGCCCGCTTCATTGACCAATAAGTCACACCCTTGGGTACAATTAAGGTACTTTACTTCATCTTTCAATCAAGGTGAAATCATCATTTGAGACCAATGTACCAAAGTATTTCTTCATGAAATAAGAATGTAATTATCATTTTTTTAAGGGAATTGTAATATATCGTCCGGTTATCCATAAATTCCTAAAAAAGAGAGATCGATCAATCTGCTAGCCTTGGCACATGATGATACTTAAATATAGAAACAAGGTTACCAAATCCACAACAAGAACACGAACATGACTCAAAAAACCATGAATAAATGTTATTTATGTTTTGCACAAATAAATAAAGTATATCGCATAGAAAACTCCTATGAGCCTCGACTTGGATTAGAAAAGGAGAACATATAATATCAGACGAGTTATAGCATTAAAAAGAAATCCATGAATCTGGTGAAATTAATCATATCAATCTTTATCGTGTTCATCTATAATCATGGCAGCAGTTAGGATCAACTTTCGGAGGATTACAGTATCACTTGGAAACTAAAAGCCAATTGGACTAGAATAAGTCAACCAAATGAGTTATGCATCATGAACTTTCTACTGCGCACATTACTTAAATGGGTTCTAGAAAGGCATATAGGACGGAATGGAGAAATCCACATAGAGAGGGCATAGTTGTATAGCAAAAACTTGATAGCAAGGGAATGACACATCATTAGATGGACAAAATTCAGATCATAGAAAGTGAGGAACTTTAATTGAAAACTTACCTTGGATTGACCTGAATCTGCTTGATCAATATCTCCTTCATCTACTCCTTGATTGCATCCATTTACCATGTTGGTCACCTGAGTTTTGTCAGTGTTTTTCTTCTTTGCAGCAGAAACCTTTTTTGCAGCCTCTTTCAGAGCATTCATTGCGACATTATAACTATGAATAGATTTAGCCCCTTCTTCAACAAATTTAATAGCCTCCTGCCGCAAACTATTATGACGCATAGTTAAAGACTCTTGTGAATTGCTAGGTAACTCTAAAGGATTTTCCTCTATAGTGCCTCCACCACCAGTCTTGGCATTTCTTGTCCAACGTTTCAAAATGTATTGGGAAGGAAGCGTAAGAACATTTTTGGCTCTGAACACAGATAACACATGTCTACAAATTATACCTGAAAATTCAAACATTAGACAGCTACAGTTAGCTGTCAACTCAAATGTGTTGAACCTAACCGTGTGCGCCTTGTGCTCTTCCCCAAATTTTGCAACATGATATGTTGTGATTGCTCCAGCGTCATCAATTTTAGTTGCAGGATTTGCAAGGGTCTCAACCAGCTCTTGTTGAAATTTCATGAACACCTTCCTCGTATAGAGATCAGCTGCTTGTTTTTCCATAGGCGATGGTGTCTTTAGAATTGGTGTAGTATTATTAGAGTCAAGATCTGCATTAAATTCCTTTTCATGCCAGACTGCAATGGCTTTTTCATAGTGTTTAATTAATAACTGGATAGATGTAGAAGCATTCACAAACCCATCGAAGAAAGTGTTTTTGGCATCATTGTCTTCATCACTTAAAAAATCCCCAAAAAATGCCCCTCGCATGAAAACAGGAACCCAGTGATGGCGAGCAATATAAATTGATTGAATGTATTCATTATCCGTGAGGTAATATCTTTCTAGGAGTGACTTCCACTGAGATTCAAACTCCTCAAGTGTCTCTGCTTCATTGATGCACTTCATAAATTCAATTTCAAAGGTTGGATGTGTTTGACATACATGGGTCAGCTTCTCCTTGGTGTCTCGAAGTATGCTCCATTTACAAAAACGATGACGCGTTTCTGGCAGAACATGAGCAATAGCCATCTGTATGAGATGATCAGTGTCAGTTGTGATGGAAACAGGCTTCTGTGCAGACATTGCTTGAAGCCAAGTTTGGAGGAGCCAGACAAGTGAGGTCTCAGATCTATTGAAAAGCAAAGCACAGCCAAAGAGAACAGGCTGGGCATGATGATTTAAGCCAGTGAAAGTGGCAAAAGGTACGCTATAGCAATTAGCTCGATAGGAAGTGTCCAATTTTATAGAGTCCCCAAAATAGTGATAGTTCATCCTGGCAGTTGCATCGGCCCAAAAAATGTTTCCATTAGAAGACCCGTTATCATCTTGAACAGCATAGAAAAATGCCGGATTTTCGGAGTGCATTCGCCTCAGATAGTCCAACACATGTTGAACTCCTCCACCGAGGATTCTTTGTCTGCTATTCATTTGTAGTCCTCCCCCAACGTTCCAATACAGACTGCAAAAGTTGCGTTCTTATGAACAACTTAGTCACGACCTGAAGAGATTGGCAGATAATAGAGCATCATGAATTCATTGCAAGAGGAAACACTTCATTGCAAATTATTCAGAATTTTATATCAACCCTTTTCTGCAAAACAGCATATTTAAGATATCTAAAATTTAATTCATTGCTTTCAGTAAAATTTGCTTAGTAACTTGAATGCTCACTTGATATACAATTGAATAAGAGTGTTAACTTTCAGCCTGCCAGAAGTACTATTGCAACCCAAAATAAAACAAGTATCGGCCATATGAGACTGCAAGCTAAATTCACTCATTCCAAACAGAAACTAACTTCACTCTTTGTTAATAATCCATCATTCATTTGCTACAGATATTACCTATCAAGTTTGTTTTCTAATATGCTAAAGAACCGTAATGTGGGTGGGACTACTTCAATTCAAGACATCAAATCAAAAGCAAACCTTGTCAAAATCTTACCTTTAAGACGGCCAGAAATTGACATTTAAAGATTTGGTAATTGACTCGATGAAATTTACTACTTCAACTCGCAGTATGATAATAAACATTTCAATGTTCTAATGCACAAAGAACAATAGAAAGAGGGATAATTATGTAATTCGAGAAGAAACAATGCATTTTGCAGCTCAATTTGCAATTCGTAATAGGGTTTAGATAGAACCTAAAGCTCGATTTGGCTGCTGAGGAACAGTGGTGTCGTGAAGAAGTTCAAAGCCTCAAACTGAATTGAAATTTGTTGATAACCCTTCTGTTTTACTTTGAGCGAGTTCACAAACCGGTATCCTCCTTTTCATAGGAACGCTTTTTTGTTAGATTCTGAAGTCCTGTCTGTATATTTATATATCTTTCCGTCTGTGCATATTTATTGTATTATTATAAGGTGAGACGTCTTAAACTAAAAAAGGTCAAAAACATCAAAATGCTTTCTTTTCTTTTTTTTTTTTTTATAGTATATTACGTTAATAATGGTACGTGATAGTTTAAACATTTATTTATATGAATGAATAATAAAATTTAATTAATGAATCATGTATAATAATACAATAGTAATCTAAATGCCGAAAAATATTATTACATTAGCATAATACATGAATTTGAAATAAAAGGACATCATCAAAACTTACACAAATGATCAATTTTGTCATGTTAGTTAGATAATTATGTATTATAATTTAAATATATTTAATGTGATGGTATCTTAACGAACGCTTCTTTGTAGATAATATTTTCGTGCGTGTATGTTTTCTCCTAATGCTTTGGTTGCTTTGTCTTAACCAGAACTCTTGTTGTCGATCTTGATATACCTCTTGAAAGTGCAACATACAATTGTTCGTACAAGAAAATATATTACGGTAAATATAGTCCAATATTTAGGATGTTTGTCCTTGTACTTTATTTATTATATTTGTAAAACATAAACATATTATGTTTACACAAATTTAAAAGGATATTCCTTAGTTTGGGAAGATGAAAGTTGAATTCAGGGATAAGAATATACTTAGAAGCACATTGAACAGTATTATAATTTTTGCTTGTATAACATTATTGTCAAAACTTCGATTTATCATCAGTGTGCTATTACATAAATTATTCGGCGTATCTAAGTTTTTCAGTAACATGACAGGCATATTTTTCTTCAAAATCAACCTATATACAATGGAAGATCAATTTTAACTTAGTCTACTATATATACGGTGACACTAACATACGTAAGAAATGATAAACTTGACAACAAACAAATATGATAGAAGGTCATTTGGTATTAAAGTATTTAAGTATTTTTCTTGGTAGTAATTATTGGTATCATTTTCTGTTAAGTCAAAAACTGAAAAATATTTTATTTTTACTATAAAATTTTGCAATCCACCTTTTGTTTAGTTGATCAACATATTCATTTCTGCTAGCTAAGATATCTTTTTAATTCTATCATGCGATTTGTACAAATTGCGTTTTAATTCAATGATAGAAATATTTCTCTTATTAAATGCACTACTATTACCATTGGGGTTGATAACCAAGTGTTCAAGAAGAACCAAATTATCTTTTATTGGATACTCTTTTCGTTTCCGATACGAAGCAATAAGACACTAAATACTGGATCTGTTCTTACTTTATATTTCTTGTCAGCTGAATCTTTTTCATTTGAGGCCAAAAGTATAACTTTGGCAAGTTAGCTTTTACAATCTATGTTTTTGTCGATTTTGAAACTACTGGTAGTACTTAACAGAAATCACCTCCCAAACTATTAATTTTTCACCAAACAGTTCATTAATATCCAATATATCTCTAGAACTTCGGACAATTATTTCGATCGTTTGACACTTAGCCATAAGTGTTTCATCTCATATTATCAATTTTGCTTTCCTTATAAATTTAGCACCATTGCTCTGCTTCGATATATTTGTGATGATTAATTAAGTTGTTTGAAGAGGTATATCAAATATAAAGTGGGTGGCCTCACAATAAAATCGTTGTTGGTATACCATTTGCTATTATTGTTAACACTGACATGCCTCTTGATATGATATTTGCAAGTAATGTATGACGTAGAAATATTATTTTGATTCTGCCGGAGGCATTTACAAAGAATAATCTCGTTATACCAGAGTCGACTCTTTATAATATAGTCTTGAAAACTTGTTCTTGTTTAGTATTGAGCTTTGATTGTGCTTCCTCAGACACTTGTATAGCATTTTGATTCTTAATAATATGTTAACATTTTTACTTTGTGTTCTAACGCTCTTTTTATGGAATAAATTTAAGTACCCTAAGATTTTTTTAACTTGAATAAGAATTTTACTCATATGATGAATTTTAAAAATAATTGGATTGGATTTTCTTGCTAAATAATTAATTAAAAATATAATTATTTGATTTTAACATATAAAAAAATTATTCTATGTTGATTCAGATCTTAATATTAGTTCATCTCTTGTTTTGAAGATTTTAATCTTAATTATAATTTTATCCACCATAAATTTTATTTTCAAAGAGTAAAAGATTAATATGACATTTCACTTTTAGATCTTTATGTTTGTAGAATTATTAGTGGTGTTGACTCTTACAAACCATTTTTTTTCTTTCTCCCACATTTATATTCTTAAATATTTTCTTAGTTGTTGTTTAATTATTGGGTATTTTTTAATATTACACAAAAAATTGATAAAAAATATTATTTAAGTAAAAAAGTAGTTCAAATATAATATAAAAATATATTATCATGGGGTATTTTTTTCTCAATTTCAACTCTTTATGCAATCTATTTAATATTACTTTTATTTTTCTTGATATTGGACATTATAGAGTGGTAATGTATTGCCAATACGGAGGATTCTTATGAAATTGATTTTATTAAACCTTCCTACATATTTTTAATAAAAATTTAATAAATAAAATTTTATTAATTTTAAAATCTTAAATATTAAAAATTAGCATAGAAGGTATTGTACTCCAAAAAATAGGTTATTGCAGTTATGTCCTTTCCCTATGAGTTCTTTCGTTGAATTATTTTAGGGCTATTTTGGCCTATTAATATTGTATTTGTGCTTTTATAACAATATATGCTCTCCTTTTTCTAAATGGATTTGACAATATAATACATTCTCAAATTAAATTAGTAATAGGACATTATAATATATTTTTAAATTAAATTAGTAATAGGACATTATAATATATTTTTAAATTAAATTAGTAATAAGAATTTTTAAGAAGTATATCCTAAAAATAATAGGATTACATAACTAAAAATATGTCTCTACCCCGAAAGTAATTATATTAAAAGGAAACATAACGTGTTCCTAAATGTATTAGGTACACATGCTAACATGTAGTATTATATGTCTATGCCCGAAAGTAATTATACTAATAGGATTCCTAAAGGTAATCATGTAGGACTCCTAACGTGTAGTATTATATTCTAAAATTAATAGGATTATAAGGCTAATATCTAGAATTCCGGTTATGTCCTTTTATTATGAGTTATTATGCTTAATATTATAAGGATATTTTTGTAAACCGATGTTGTATTCATACTTTTATAATAATATAGATATATTTATATTTAATGAGAATTTTTAAATAAAAATACTACTCTCCCATCTCAATTTGTGTTTCATGCTTTTCATTTTAGTGTGACCCAAAAAGAATGTTATATTTTCTTATTTGAAAATAATTTAACTTTAAATTTACTACTTTATCTTTCATGAAATGATTTACAATCACACAAATATTTATGGCTTATGTTAGACCACAAGATTTAAAAGTTTTTTTTTTAAACTCCGTACCAAGTCAAATACCTTTACATAAATTGAAACAAAGAGATGTGAGAATGTATTAATGTCTCTTGTTTGGATGTTCAATGTCCCCTTACAGAAATGATACCTACTCTTAATATAGTGGGAAAATCCTACTTTGGATATAATAAAAAATACATAGTGGAGATCCCATGATAGATTAATTAATTAGTTTTTCCTTAATTCCCGCCGAGATTCTCTCTCTAAGTGCGGCTGCAACGGCTCTTTGTCTCTAAGCTCGATCTTGGTCGGTCTTGGTATTGGTCGATCTCTGGATCTCGAGCTTGATACTGACTCGGGCTCGGTATTGATCGGTCTCTGGCTCTTGAACTCTATAACACTACTTTATATCACAGCTCAATATTGACTCGAGCTCGATATTGATTGGTCCCTGAATCTTGAGCTCGATAACCTGACTTTGCTTCTTATCTCGATGTTATAATGGCGACCCTCGGTTCATCATGTTCCAATCTCGACTAATTACACAGAGGACAAACTAGGATTTGATCGTATACAGATAGTCCCCTCGTTTCTCGGAAAGAATGTGGCTAGAAACTATATGACTAGATATACATTGACGTCTGCATCGAGCACGACCATGACGTACGTGATAAATGTCCCGTCGGTTCAGTTACCAAGGCATTAAATGTGTGTCAGATGATGGTCGGCCACTGCTGATATTGAACCGTCATCGCCAAATCTATAAATAGCCCCCTTCCTTCGTCATTTTAAATTTTTACTTTCAACTCTTCTCATTCTATCCTTCACAGTTCTTCGTCTTCTCCAAAATTATCTATTTCCAGGTTCTGAAAAGTTCTTTGTTTGTTTCTTCATCAAACACTAAAATATTTTAATTTCCCGTCTTCTTTGTTCTTTGAAAACCTAGATGGCCAAGATATCTAAAGTCGTTCCTCAGAAAGAGGCTGCTTCCTCATCTCGGCCGGCCGCTGAGAAAACGGTGGTGGAGCCACGCCTTGAAGAACTCATTCTCGGGGTGTGTGTTATTGATTCTGATTTTAAAGTTGACAAACCCTCTTCGGTTGCCGGTCGATGCAAGCCGGTATCGAGATACATATGCTCGATACCAAAAAGTCTCCTCGATTTGGTGAAAAAGGACTGTAATTGGGTAAATAAAAAGGTCGTGATACTAACAACGGAGGAATCTATCACTACTCACGTGGAAAGGTAACTGAGTGTTTACATTTACCCTTTCACGCTGGTTCCCCTCGATCCAGTCATCATCGACTTTTGCAAGAAATACCAGGTGACCCTCGGCCAAATTCATCCTTCTTTTTGGAGGATCGTGATCTTGATCCGTTTCATTGTGAGCAAAATCGATGGGCTTCCTTTCACCCTCGACCACCTCACAAGATTATACAGCCCTCGACTTTACCGAGGCTGGCTGATAAAGCTTCAACGTTGTGCCACCAAGGTGTTCACCTCGAGTATAGATAAAGACAAAGATCGGGTCCGGATAGGCCGATTTGTTCGAGTGAAAACCTCGGACCTGATCCCTGATGAAAGCATGTCGTTTCCTG